ATTCTTGGTGTTTTCCTGCATTTGGTACTTTTCTTTTCTCCACATATAAGCAAACAGTAGGAAACCCATCAGAAATTAGCACTTTATTTCTTTAGGGCCTCTCAAAAGTAGATGGTGTGGAATAAAATAAGGAACGTAGGAAAATAAGTTGGGAGAATCTGGCTGTAGTTTTAAAGTGTCTCCTTAAATACTCATAAGCAAAAAAAAAATCATTGTACAAGTCAATATATTTATACATACAAACTAAGGCAAAATTATAAGGATTCTAAAGAGCTGAGAATGATGGCACAGCTTTTGAAATAAGTTAACAATATCTAGCATAAGAAGTTGAATGGGGAAATTCAATACTTGTTTCTCTACGAGTTCTTTGAAGGGTTGGGATTCTTCAGAAAGGAAAACAGCCCAGTTAACAATATCCTAGGACATTTCGCTTTAAGTAAGAAAGAACCACGGGGTTCATTGTTCAACACAGTGTAATACATCATAAAAATCAATAGCATGTCCAAAATGCAAATGTATTCTTCCTCACAAAGATTTAAGATACTGCTCCCTAATTAGGAATATCTTTACATAGTGGAGGAAAAGGACACTGGTGAAGGGATGGATGCCCAAATGTCGTACAACTGAAATTCAATCATGAACAATTGTGTAACTTTGTATCTCAGTGTGATTCAATAAATAAAAAAAGTATTTTTTTAAAATTAAAAATATCATTACCTTATTCCTCTCTTCTATAATGAAATCATAAACCAGAAGATGTCTTAAAAATTTTCACTTAACTCTGAGAGAGCAAAGACGTAATTCAGAAGGAAAACTGAATTCCATACAACAGGAGGGGGCTGTCTGAGCTCTGTTACGTGGAATGTAGGGGAGGCTGTAGCTGTAGCGGACTGATGCTCAGTGGAAACACAATGAGGCACATTAACTCTTTTCTATTCAAATGTCCAGCAACAAGGTGAAAAACTACCTTCAACAAGGTCAAAACAATCCAATTCAGATGGTACGACAAGGAACCTACTGAACCTTTTGTTTTTTCTTACTTCCTCTCTGGTTGCTTCCATTTCCCTAGAAGTTACAAAGACACAGTTCTGGGATCACTACAGGCATTGTCAAAGACAGTACAGACCTGGTGTCTTTTCAGAACCACGAATCAGAACCAGAATCCCTGGAAAGATGGAGAAGGCAAGCACAAAGGCACCTACTCAGAACAATTCTGCAATCCTTCATCCTCCAGCTGAGCCATCTGGAAAAAAATCACCAGTTCCCTTTGTCTCTCCAAGCTACTGTGTGCTCAGTTTATGACCTTTTTTTGGAGGGTGAGGGGTTCGGGGGGCATACCTGGAGGTACTCAAGGCTTACTGTGGGCTCTATTTAGGGACCACTCCAGGCAAGGCTCAGGGGACCAAATGGGGTGCTGGAGATTAAATCCAGGGGTCCCACAGACAAAGTGCCTGCGACTCCATTTTGAAAAGAGCTAATTTTAGAAATTACTGCTCTACTTGAATATCCATGAGACTCCATCCTTACCATTGAAATTCTTTAATCCTGGGGGGCAGGGCAATAATACAATGGGTAGGGTGCTTCTCTTGTATGTGGCCAATCCAAGTTCAATCCCCATATTGTTCCCTGGGCCCTGCCAGGAGTGATCCCTAAGCAGAGTAAGTACCGATCACTGCCAGGTGTGATGCACAAACAAAACCATCAAATCTTTCCGCTGGCTTCAACGTTCTCCAAAATTCCATTTTACATTCATATGTTGGGCCAAATTCCAATTCTACCAAGTCCAACAGCTCAGATTGATAGCTCCATTGTGTGAAGGCCTATTTAAGTCAGGAAATCTAGGCCTCAGGGTTTAGTATTCTTAACTAAATAACCAAAGTTCTTTGCCACTTTGTGCCCCTTTTGATCTTCCCCCAAACCTAAGACTGTCTAGGGTTAAGAAAGCAAATACAGACCAGTCTGAGAATTAGAATCTGGAGGACATTTCCCCGTTTCAGGAGAAGTCAGCTTGCTACTTTGGGCTTGAGTTTTACAAACATATTTCAACTGACAAGTAGTCCAAATCCCAATGAACCCCGCTGGTCAGTGGGCACTGTACAATGGCTCCCTCCTCCATCCCCTTTCTCCTCAGTATCCTATTCAAACATGCCCATGATGACATTTCTCTGTCATTTGCTGTAGATGAGATGCATGTCCACTGCAAATGCCCACTGCTCTGCAGCATTAATATAATCTCTTGAAACTGCTACACACATAATGGCAGAAAGCAGACCCACACTTCCTCTCTCTGAAGCTTGCTCACTATCTATACTTTTCCCCCCAACTTTGTCAGTTATTTATGGCAAATAAGACATATACCATTATACCATTATACCATTGGGTATAATTACTGGATTATACCCAATGGTGCTCAGGACAGATTCCTCTCTTCCATTTATTTGTTCCTGTGACATTTTTTGAACACTACATTTAATCGTTCTCAACACTCTTTTTCTCCTGAAGGTTAGAATAAAGGCACAAGTATGCTCTTTTTTTTGGGGGGGGGGGGGAGGGAGGGGAAGAGGCAGATATTCACGAGTTACTCCTGGCTCTGCACTCAGGAATTATTCCTGGTGGGCTCAGGGGTCCATATGGGATCCTGGAAATTTAACCTGAATCAGCTGCATGCGAGATAAGCTCTCTCCCTACTGGCTATATAATTGTTCCGGCCCCACTAATATCATTTTAAATTACTCTCAGAGCTAATGATGCATAGAAACTAGGCAGATACATAGAAACTCAGGAAAGGCATACCCAAAGGTAACAAGGGCTACTCCAGCTAAGTGCTTGAAAGTCTCTCCTGGCAGCGCTTGGGGGACCAGGGAATACCAGGATGGCACGTGCCTATGCGCAAAGCATGCACTGAACCTGTTGAGCCATCTCCTCTCCCACACACCAACAGTGTTTTAAAGATGGATCAAAGGCACAATCAACTCAAGAGGTCATGTTTCAGAAACATGTTAATGTTCATTATCATATATTGTGTTTTCTTAAAGTATAAGTGCATAGTGAAAGAGAAAAAACTGCTACTCTTATATGCTGCTGGTGAGAAATCAACCAGTGCTATTTGCAGAATTTGGTATTAACTCGTGTACTAGCCACACAAATTCCACTGCAAGGCATGAACAAGAGACAAATTCTAATCTGTGTTCAGCAGGAAAGAAACATAAAAGCATTACACAAGTATTATAATAGCAAACTACAATGCAGAAAGAAGAAACTATAGCCACATGCACCAATACACACTAACTGTCCAAGTATGATAACATATAAAAAAAAACAAATTATATACATAATTTAAAATATTAAATAAATAATTTAAAATTTTTGAGGGGGGATTACTGGATTATACCCAATGGTGCTCAGGACAGATTCCTAGCTCTGTGCTCAGGGACCAGTTGTGGTGGGGCTTGGGGGACCATACAGGGAGCTGGGAGCCAAAAAGGTTGATCACATGGCAAGACTAATGCTTTACCCTCTGTACTATCTGTCTGAATCTACAAATAGATTTTTAAATGTGATATATACCATATATAATATGCTTCATGTACACAATGTTCCAAATATATAAGCACAAAGAATATATATTTAAAGTTTATAAGGAAGGGATAGGGTTGGGGGTGGGAGGGCTACTGGGAGCATTGGAGGTGGGGAATGGGGACTGGTGGAGGGATGGGTACTCGATCATTGATGACTGAAACCCAAGCACAAAAGTCTGTAAGTCTACATCTGTACCTCAGGGTGTTTCACTAATAAAAAAATAAAATAAAATAAATTAAAAAAATAAAGTTTATAAGGAAAATGGGTAAACCATAAATAAAAGGAAAAAAACAAAATTCAGGACCTATGAAGGTGGCAGAAATAAATAAAAATACATTTGATACTTTATTTCTTAAACAGTTGACAAAAAATCTACTTTTCTTCTTTACATGTAGTACATCAATACCATATAAAATCTTTCATAAATATTTATTATTTCAATAAAAAATATAACTGAAATTTTTGACTGTTAAAATTACAAGTATACTGATCTTTTAATCAATTTCAAAAGAAACTACGAAGAAACTCTAGGCCTCGGAAGAGAAAAGTTAGCCAAGGTGCAGAGAAAAATAGGGGCTCTCAGGCCAGCTGTAAACAGTGACTACATTATCTGAAATGCAGAAGGAAAGCTGGATGTCACATATACTAAGGCAGAAAGACCGGGGCAAATACAAGGAGACCTTCTGGATTCTAGAAGCCAAGTGAAATATTCAGGGTCCGGTGAGCAAGACAGAGACCCTGGAGCCCTATCCAGCAGTGTCGAGGTCTAGATAAGTAAAACTGGAGCAAGATAACAAATCTGAGGAAAACAAAGAGGGTCTGAACTGGAGAGCCAAACAAGTTCTAGAACAACACGACTACAACATGCAGAGATTTTAAATAAAAACCATCCACTCTTCAGTTCTGTCTACTTTTTGTCCCTAGTAAACAAAGATGACTTTGACTTCCTTTCATATATTGCCCAAGGTAGTTCTCTTCATTGGCTTAATACCTCACCTAAATTTTGACTGCCCCTTATTAGCTTCAAGCAATTCATTTTACGAGTCTAGTTTCCTAGTGTGAAGCCCACAGCTATAAAAGTTGGGCTGAGGAGATAACATCGAGTTACATATCCAATTAGAGGCAATCGTGAGAACTCAAACCTGTCTCTTCAATTCTACGGCTGGGAAAGCTTTGCTCGTGGCTGTCGCTGCTGACACAGGGGCCACAAAACCTGCTCAATTTTAAAGCAGGGAGTAATACTGAAACTGAACATTCACTTCAAATGGGCACCACACTCAATTCAAGCTTCTGAAAGTACAATTTTAACTTGCTCAGCACTCCCAGCTGAAGAATGCTGTTACCCACTTATCCGGGATATACTCTTCTCTAATAGTCACAATATTATTTTATACTGATTTATAGAATGAAAACCATCTTACCTGCACTTTTTTTAAAGCTACTGGTACTCCATCCAAGAGACAGGCTGCTCTATAAACTTCGCTAAATTGCCCGCGACCAATTTTCTTTTCTATTCGGAAGTTGGCTAGTGTATTATAGCCCATGTCCGGTCGTAAGGCCTTCTGCAATTGAAGAAGTCAGAAAAGTTTTTAATCACACAGTATACAACACATAATAGTAGCTGATTGCTTTCCCATAAGAATCCTACGATTAGCTTGCAAACTTCCATTCATTCAAAAAATATTGAACTCCTACTTATACCAGTTACTGGATGTTTACACATCAGCAGCAAACTGAACAGACAAAAATCCCTATACCCAAAGAACTTACACTATAGAGAGGAAAACAAATAATAAGCAAGTATATATGAAAAGCATCCAGTGACAGCAAAGGCTAACAAAACAAGGCAGAGGGAAATGAAATGTCAGAGGATGAGAAGGATTTTGAACCTTTAGATAGAAAGTTTAAAAACAGCCCTTATTTCACAGACCTAATTGTTCCATTAAATCTAGAACTTCCGTGAAAAAATATTTATTTTTTAAAGAATCTTTGAGATTAAATGTAAAGAAGTATATACATGGTCTATCTAGATACAAACATATATATATTTTATATGGATGTATTTTCACTTAATTCTGCTTGCCAGTTAATGCATGAAAAACTTGGGGACTTGGAAGTTACTGAATTCTAAGAGCATATTTCCAGTGGCAGGCAGTTTACAATCTCTGTGTTACTTTTTCAACTAAAAAGTTTTAGGGAAATTTTAAGTTCACAGCAAAATTCAGAGGAGGTACAAACATTTCACGTAGACCCCCTCCTATCAGTATAGCCTCCCCTATTATCAACATCTCCTGTTACAACCCACGGACCTACTAGGATCTATCACTGCTACCCAATACCTACAGTCCAAGCTGGGTTCACTTTCAGAGCTGTAAACTGTAGGTCTGGACAAACCCATGATGGCATCCACTTATCAAAAGGGATTCATATAAAGTGTTTTAAAGTTCTAAAATCCTCTGTGAGGGGGGCTGGAGCAATAGTACAGCGGGTAGGGCGTTTGCCTTGCTCGCAGCTGACCCGGGTCCGATTCCCAGCATCCCATATGGTCCCCCGAGCACCACCAGGGGTAATTCCAGAGTGCAGAGCCAGGAGTAACCCCTGAGCATCTCTGGATGTGACCCAAAAAGCAAAAAAATAAAAAATAAAACTTAAAAAAATTAAATCCTCTGTGAGGGGCCAGGGCAGTAATTTAGCAGGTAGGGTGCTTGCCTAGCACACACCGACCCAAGTTCAATCCCTGGAACCCCATATGGTTTCCCAATCCTGCTGGGCTGGGAGTGATCCCTGAGCACAGAACCAGGGGTAAGCCCTGCGCACTGCCAGGTGTGATCCCAAAACACAGAAAGAAAATTAAATATAAAAACTCTCTGTGCTGCACCTGTTCATCTCTCCTTGTTAGCTCACTACGTTACTGATATTTCTATTAAGCCCACACGTGTGCTTCCTCTGGAACATGGTAAGTCAGAATCATGAACTATGTGTAATCCTTTTGTACTGGCTTATTCCACCCAGTTCATGAATATACTTTTTAAATTATCTGTCATTGCTATTCAGGAAAATCCTATCATTTATCAACAGGTATTTAGTATGTTGAATTTGAGTCAAATTCTGTGCTAGCTGCTGAAGAAGTTGAGATGAATCTGAAAATTTTCTGCTGTTAGATATATGAGCTCAGTCACCCACAGGCAGTGCCTTCACGGTATTAAGTAGGACTGATTAAGGGAACTGATACCATACTGCTGTGCCAATTTTAAGACAAATCCACCTTTGTACAAACATTCTCTACCGTCTCATGCTGCTGTTTGTTAGTGGATAAAGTCCATCATAAGGCTAAATTAGCCGAATATCTTTTCCAGCTGCACACTTTGCATTCTTCAGACTACAACAAGACACTAGGTACTTTATGCCCCTCCTAACACGCATACCTGTTTTTATCATCTCTAATTATATAAAATACAACAAAATAGCTATTTTAGCTATCCTATGCCCTGATAGCTACTCTTTCCTGGCTAAACATGCATGAGTCTTTTCAAGATTCCTGAATTATTAGTAAATATACCTTTCCAAGCTTTCTACTACCCTGTTTGCATCCCTCTGGACTATTCTCTGGATTATTCTCAGAATAATAAGAATAACATTCTCTGTCGTGCAGACTAGGGCACTCTCTTAAGGATATCGAGCATCAAATATATATGAATTCAATCAAACATAGCACTAGTTCAACTTGAATTCAGTTCAACATTCAACTTGAATTCCAGGCGTCATATAAACCTTTGATAAAACTGATAACTCCTCTGTGGCTTATACAGAAGGTTATTTTGCTCCGTGAGCAGTATACTGCATTAATCCCTACAATTTTTTTCTTATTTAATTTCACTACTCTATTGTGCTAGCAAAAGAGAAAAAAACTCTACAAAATTCTCCTCAAGTTGAAGTGAGACTTTGTCTGCTACCTAATTTCATCTAATTCTACACTGTTCTCAAACCAAACCTCTAGCTAGGTGATTCCAAAGTATAGCCTACTGTACTAAGTCACTTATGGCATGACCCAATTTTACAAAACTCCACATGATGATTCACAGACATTTTCAACTTCAAGTCGTCGGAAGAAAAAGAAGACTGGAGACAAGGGCTAAAAATAATGAGCACCCCCCTAGGGGGGCTGAAACAACAGCACAGTGGGTAGGGCATTTGCCTTGTATACAGCCAACCTGGATTCAATTTCCAGCATCACATATGGTCCCCCGAGCACTATCAGGAGTAATTCCTGAGTGCAGAGCCAGGAGTAACCCCTATACAATGCTGGATGTGACCCAGAAATTAAAAAACAATTTTTTTTTTAAAAAGAGAGAGAGAGAGAGAGAGCTCTGGGCTGTGGCTCAGTGGTGAAGGGCCACTGCAGTATCAAGTCTGAGCCCCACATCCCTGAGTGGAATCCAGATGACACAGCACAGTGATGCCCACAAATGCTTGTCCTCCAGCACACCACCACCAAGTGTGTGTGAGCAATACAGGAGAGTGTGCAACCACAGAGCAGCACTGCAACCAAGTGTGCAGAACTCTGCGCAACTAGGCAGTCTCAGTCACTGCAACAACAAAGGGAAAAGAAAGTGACACTAAAATGAACATGCATGCCAGAATGGCGGGGGGGGAATGATCACAATATGAGAGACAACCTGCCCTGCTGTTCATAATACTTTTCTTTATGGCTATTGCAATTTATCATTTAGTATCACAGTGACAAGATGGCACCTACTAAACAAAAGAAACTTGCACAGGGCCATTTCTCAGATTTTTGGCATCTTAGCTTTAAAGTATCATTTTACAGAGAGGAATGGTTGGGTGATTAGTCATACTTTTCTAACATTGTCCGTCTGACTCTATGCACGTGCAAGTTCTGTGACATCTAAGATACAGAACTTCCTCGTCCCTCATATATGCAGAGACCATCTTTTCTGCTGAGGATAAAACTGCCAATCTCAACGGTTAAATACAACTTCATCAGTCGAAACCTTCTCACACAATCCAAATACTTGAAATTTGACTGGGAATTCCATATTCTGTCAGCAGCGTAACTGACAAATATTAGCGTGAACTGCTAAGGCAGTGTGACAACCGCATGCTGAGAGCAAAGTCTCACTAATGTGTTTTGGCATGCAGGTTTGTAATCACACATTTACATATGCAATGACCTATATTTGCATGTCAGATCGCACACTGTCTTGGTTTATTAAGACTGGGCACCTCCCTGTGCTTGGCGGCCTGAGTGGCGAGAGAGGGCCAGAGGGCGGTGTTTTTTGGCAGTTGAGGGATGAACTGCCACCAAGGATTAGGCTGATATGGCCTGAGCATTAGACACTTCATTAGACGTAATCTGTTTAACAGTGGGCAGTGTATGTAAACTTCACAGCCCATTTACGGCACCTTTCCCCCCCTCATAGTCTTTCTTCAAAGGGCAGTGTGGGTGAGTGACAGCCTGTCTCATCTGCTCCCATGTCCTGTCACCCAGGGTAGACATGGAGGGCTGACATGAGAAGGAGCATAGCTGCACATCTCCAACTACCCCTGGGTCTCATGGCCACGCTGCAATTTGTCTCAAAACAAGGTCTTCGTTATGAGATCACGAGGCAGGTCATCAATGGACCTGGGAAATGATTCTGCTCTTTTGGATGCCCTCCTTCCCCGTGACGACCTGCACTCTACAGCAGGCAGCACTGGGTCTGACACTTTCAACCAAAGTATCAACAAAAACGATCACTGAATGAGTTCCCACTCAAGTCAAGAACTCTTTTTTCGTTTTTTGCCCCCCTTAGGGAAGAGCTATGTAGCCTTTTTTTTTTTGAAAGACCTCCAATTTCTTACATTTTTTAGGGAAGCACTTGAGTTATAGAAGGAGGATTAAAAAACTCATCACAATGACATCACAATGATGTCCAATTCCTTGTATTTTTAGCAGTCAAGGGATGAACTGCCACAAAGGATTAGGCTGATATGGATTAAACAGGCACTGGAATTATAGAAGGGGAATTTTTAAAAAAACTCATCAAAATGATGAGAATCAGATCGGTATGCAATATAAGCCAAAGAAAATCACTTAAATTAGATGTTCCCATTCTTAATTATATTAAGTGAGACTTGGTCTCCTGCAGAATCCACTTAATGATCAGATTTTTTTTTTCTTTCTTTTTCTTTCTTTCCTTCTTTCCTTCTGAGCAACAAAAAAAGGCTCTGGGGCTGAGAAAAGTCACTGAAAGAACCTTAAGATATTCTGAAAGTAGTAAATTGTCCTGCTATAAAAATTATGCCAAGCCTAGGCCAGAGACACTCCAAGCCACATTCCTATCCTGCACATCACCCCCACCCCATAGGCAGCAGCGACCAGCCAGGCCCACTTGTATTGAGTGATGACCTCTAACCTATTCATGCAAGGCATTTGCTCGTCCCCATGTCTTTGGAAAAAATTCACATTTTATACCTGACACATCCCAGTTCACCTGTAAAACAATGGCCAGCCCTGCATCTCAGCACCTGCGCTGCTTTCCTGCCCTTTTCCTCCCTGGCC